AATAAAAATAAAAAAAAGTACGAATGTTCCAGGAGGACTTGAACGCAGCATTAAAGTAGCCCAACTTCGCGGGAAAACCGCGGACTTGGCAACACTCGCGGGAACGCCCAGAAGAACAAACAAGAGGCGGAGCGACGCACAGTTCGTGCGCTGCGTGAGGCGAATGCAATAAGAAGCTTTCACGGGAGTCAGTGCGCAGGAAAGCATCGTATTTTCCGGCGTTAAGAGCTCATATCTGCGATCTTCCATCATGCATGTGGACTTCGAGAAGCTGCGGATGAGCGGCGCGGGAAAAGCCATCGCGGTTCTGACGAGCGGCGGCGATGCGCAGGGTAAAAATGACTAGAAAGAGCAAATAAAGCGCATAAAGCGAGCGAAGGGCAGACCCTGACAGCACAAGCTGACTGCGACTGGTGCTCAACCCAGACGATTTAGCCAACACTTGCTCTTTGATGCACAAATGCTTTGATTTTCGAACATATGATGCACAAAATGCTGCATAAATAGGGATCGTGCTTGGTGTTGACACGCAGCCCCTGTTGTAGAGGAAATATATAGTCTAAGAACGTTTTGCAAACATGTTTCTCAAACGTTATTTCTTAAATGTTCAAAACGTCCAGTTTTTTAATGTATAACGTTCGTTTTTTCTTGGTCATGCGAACGTTAGTGGAACACTCCATTCTATCAGTTTGAAAACGTTATGAGAATGTTACATTTGAATGTTCTCTCATCGTTTAAATCACCCTTTTTATGTTTAAAGAACGTTTTTTAACGTTAGCTGAACATTCCATTCTATCAGTTTGAAAATGTTATGAGAACGTTACATTTGAATGTTCTCTTTGAAGGGTGTTTTTTTCTTGGTTATGCGAATGTTTGAGTAGCATTCTTTGAACACTTTGAAACCGTGATGAAAATGTTACTTCTGAATGCTTTTAAACGTTCAAAATGTACAATCAGACAAATTTCAGAAACTTTCCCGGCTCAAATTTTTTGTTTTGTCAATATTTATTTTTTTCTTAAGAAAATAAACATGTATAGTGATGAAAGCCGAAATATTACATGTACAGCACTCTACGAACACCTTGGCAATTGAATCGCCATTGGCTAGTAAATGTTTTAGTTTACTCGCCAGACTTATATATATATATATATATATATATATATATACCGGTATTGCGGTATTTTAAAAATTCATATCATAACAAAAATAAACACCGGTATTCGGTATGAACCGGTATACCGCCCAGCACTATTATGTGCCAATGGTGACCATTCAAAAATGGGAAAAAGCACTTCAAGTTTTTTCTCCAAAGTTTGCATGCCTGTACCTCAACAAGTATTAAAGATATCTTAATGCACTTTTAGATTTAGGATCTTAACAAACTTTTCTTTTGGCATCTTAATTTTTAAGGCCCTGTATAGTTCAGGTTCAGAGATACTGGAATCTCAATATGGCTCCAGGAGTAAATTGTTACATTTTCAGTGGTCAAAAACCAAATGTGGGTCACTTTGCACAGAGATCATACTTTGTTTCTTTTAAAGAGAAACATCTGAAGAACAAATAATGTTGAAAGCAGAAATGCATCTTGTTTTCCTCCATCAAAACAATTGCATAGATCATACCTTGTCTTAGTGCCATAAATAGTCTTTTTCCAAGTTTGCATGCATGTAACTCGAGAAGTATTAAAGATAGCTCAATGTGATTCTAGATTCTGTTTCTTAATAAATTTGACTTAATGAAATTGTCATTTTGACACCTCTACAAAATAAACATATATACATCAGTGACATTTAATAATTTGGCTTTCTAATTAATTTATGCATTGATGAGAAAAAAATATTAACAAAATCACAAAACAACAACTCTGGTTGAGTTGACGTGGAATGACCCCAAATTATGGAATGATTTGATGTCATTTCTTGATTTTCGTTGTTTTTTCTGTTGTGTCAGAGAGTGAGTATCTGGTGCATAAGTAATGCATGAACTGACTGTTATGCAACCTCTCATGACCCCTATCTAGTGTGCATGCACGTCTCATGCTTCAGTAGTTCTGTTATTTGTTCCTGATTTGTTTCCAGATTAAATTTGCATTGCATGTTGTGTCACCATATTGCATTACAAACAGTTTGTCAATGCATGTCTCTTTAGTTGCTGCATTAAACACGAATTTTAGATGCTCTTTTCAGGGTCGTGTAGAGCGGCATGAGATGCATAATAACGTGTGATTTCTGCAGGTATGAACGCGGCCGTTCGCGCTGTAACACGCATGGGCATTTACGTAGGCGCTAAAGTTTACCTGATTTATGAGGTGAGCGATGTTGCTCCACATGCACTGAGTCACGGAGCGCTGCGCTCGTACTGATGCATGTGTTTCTCCAGGGTTATCAAGGCCTGGTGGATGGAGGAGATCACATCAAACTCGCCAACTGGCAGAGCGTCACCAACATCATTCAGCTGGTGAGGCTTCATCCGTTTTAATGCATGCTTGTTTGTTTGTCACATGCATGTGTTATGCTGCCATACGTGCTTCTAGATGTAAATCTAATGGAACAGAAGCAGATGTATTGAATAGGCAAACTGGTTCAAATGTGATTTCATATTGATTTTTCACAGCCTTTAATAATCTTATAATGTCAGGGAGTTGTGAGTATTTATACAGGAAACTCTGAGATAACATCCTCCTCTTCTGTGTCTTCCTGCACGTTTTGACTGACAGCAGCAGAAACAGGATAAGTAATGCATGAACTGACTGTTATGCAACCTCTCATGACCTCTTATCTAGTGTGCATGCACGTCTCATGCTTCAGTAGTTCTGTTATTTGTTCCTGATTTATTTCCAGATTAAATTTGCATTGCATGTTGTGTCACCATATTGCATTACAAACAGTTTGTCAATGCATGTCTCTTTAGTTGCTGCATTAAACACGAATTTTAGATGCTCTTTTCAGGGTCGTGTAGAGCGGCATGAGATGCATAATAACGTGTGATTTCTGCAGGTATGAACGCGGCCGTTCGCGCTGTAACACGCATGGGCATTTACGTAGGCGCTAAAGTTTACCTGATTTATGAGGTGAGCGATGTTGCTCCACATGCACTGAGTCACGGAGCGCTGCGCTCGTACTGATGCATGTGTTTCTCCAGGGTTATCAAGGCCTGGTGGATGGAGGAGATCACATCAAACTCGCCAACTGGCAGAGCGTCACCAACATCATTCAGCTGGTGAGGCTTCATCCGTTTTAATGCATGCTTGTTTGTTTGTCACATGCATGTGTTATGCTGCCATACGTGCTTCTAGATGTAAATCTAATGGAACAGAAGCAGATGTATTGAATAGGCAAACTGGTTCAAATGTGATTTCATATTGATTTTTCACAGCCTTTAATAATCTTATAATGTCAGGGAGTTGTGAGTATTTATACAGGAAACTCTGAGATAACATCCTCCTCTTCTGTGTCTTCCTGCACGTTTTGACTGACAGCAGCAGAAACAGGATTTAGATTAAAGCAGCAGATTAAATCTGAGATTACAGCTGCGTCCCTCAGCAGCGTTTACATCACAGACAGACTCGTGACACAGTATATAGTACTGGAGTATTTGGCTAAAAACAGTGTGCAGAATGCCTTTTCAAACAGAAGCATGCTTGTCATTAGGGATGCACCGAAATTAAAATTCTTGGCCGAAGCTGAACAAAATCAAACACTGTACCAATACCGAACACGGAACTTAATGTCTCTGAAAAACCATTTCATTTTCAAAGAAAGAAATCAATTACAAAACAAAAATTTAAAAATATTAACACTGAACATTTTTTAACATTCTAGCAGACATTATACCTACAAAGCACAATTTAACTTCAAATTTCTTCAAAGTTAGTAAAATAATATTTTTTGGCCATTTTTGAGACCCCCTTCTTGAATCAGGCATGCATTTTTTTAAATTATTTTTTTACTGTACAAATAAATGCAGGCTTGCTGATCAGAAGAGAATTCTTTTAAACCTTAGAAAATATTACAGATCCCAATTTGAACACTAGGTGTTAATGTTATAATAAATGTATTAATATAACTATTGTTATTATTATTATTATTATCATTATTCTTGTCTTTATTTTATTTTACAGAACAACAGTAAAATTACAATAATAACATTTATGAATGTTGATGGAGCTTTTATTTTGGCGGAATCCCGCAGGAAGATCTCGGAGCTTCTTTTTGTTGACAACAGCAGATTTATAAATGATTCTCATTACGAATTTGGGAAGATGTTTGTCGCACGAATCGCATTGCCACATGCCTTTAAAAAATTCATAAAAATGTTACTGAGCAGCTGACGAGTAACACAGTTTCAGCACAGATTTTCCTCACGGTTTGGACTCTGAACCCTGGTGCCGCGAGCTCGTGCAGCGCTGTTTGAACGCATGCAATTCGTGCGTTGTTAAACATAACATTTTGCAGTTTATTTACTAATTGTTTAAGGCCATTTCGCGATTCGCTGTCGGTGCTTGTAATGATGTTTGCATCTTTCTCAGACACTTTTAAATGCTTCCACACTGCCGACATGTTTGCTGCATTAGTGCGCGCCTTTATTTGATCGCGTCATGTCATTGTTCGGTACAATTTATTCGGTCTTTTCGCTTATTCTGAACACCGAAAGAGCTTAACCGAATAATTTCGGTTGCCGAACATTCGGTGCATCCCTACTTGTCATGTTGTGCAAATGTTGCATGTTTATGCGAGTGGCATTGAATTACTATGTTGCCTTTTTAACCAATTTAATCTAAAATTTTTCCCATACATGAAAAGTAACCCCTTTGAAATAATCAATCTGATCAGACTTTTTTTTTTAATTGTTTGGAAAAGTGTGTAAAAAAAATGGTGTTTTATTTACGGTGAGTCACAATTGTGGGATAATGTGTGTACTGAATTAACATATTCCTGCAGTCATAAAAATTGTTATATATCTCAGCCCAGCTATTTTAAACAGTTTTATCACACTCTATGGTTACTATTGTGCTTAAAAAACCCTTATACAACATTGATAGGAATACTGAGATAAAAAAAATACAACCATCAGCATTTCAAAATTGTTACTTTTTTGTAACATACATCATTACATTTTTATATTAGTGCTACGAGTATTAAAACATCAACTTATTTGTAACATTTGAACTTCGTCAGTGCAACATTTTAGTGCAGCCTTCACTAGCAACTGCAATTGATTTATATGTAAACCTAAGTTCACTGTATTATCACTATTGTGACCATCAACATGTTTACTCATTCTATGACCACACTCAACAAAACTGAATATATGGAATTCATATATTAATACTAGACACCTTAAAGATAACATGTACCAAAAATCTTTGTTAACATACTTTATGCTTTGATGCAGCCATCATCTCAAGGTGCAAACAGGAAGTAAACTGCTCTGGTCATGTGACTCTGCACATATTTAATTGAGACCCTTTATTTTTTCAATATTTACAGGAAGTGCACTAAAACATCAGTCAGTAAGGTTTTTCGAGCTTTATAAATGAAAACCTTTTTTAACGGTCACTATTGAGACCGGTGGGATTGAAAGGGTTAATGTAGTTAGTGAAATAGTGTCTGATCATCGAGTGCTTTATTGGAGGTTGAGTGCATTGCATTGCGCTCTGGTTGTGTGCTGTTGTAGTGCTTTATCTGACCCACAGATGTTGTGATTGCGGTCAGGGCGGCACCATCATCGGCAGCGCCCGCTGTAAAGCCTTCACCACGCGTGAGGGCCGTCTGTCCGCGGCGTTTCACCTGCTCCAGCGCGGCATCACTAACCTGTGTGTGTGCGGCGGAGACGGCAGCCTCACCGGAGCCAACATCTTCCGCAGCGAGTGGAGTGACCTGCTGGCTGAACTCGTGCAGCAAGGTACACAGAGCCTGTTAGGCCCCCTTTTACAAGATGATGTAAAATAAGTCTCCGATGTCCCCAGGGTATGTATGTGAAGTTTCAGCTCAAAATACCCCACAGATAATTTTGTATAGCTTGTTTAAGTTGCCACTTTTAGGGTGTGAGCCAAAACGCGCCGTTTTTGTGTGTGTCCCTTTAAATGCAAATGAGCTGAGCCTTTTCAGAAGAGGCAGAGCTTCATGCTCCGGCAACAACAAACAATCTCACGCACTGAAACCGTCAGAAACTCTCAAGCGATTGACTCTGCTTTCATATGCATTTTTTAACTACCACATTCCTATTTACGATCGTTCTGGCAGCATCAGAGACGATGGAAAATGATTGGGTGGATGTTTTCACACACTGCAGCCACACAACTGTGTTCAAACACCTTATAAAAGTGATTTTTGCGTAATAGGTCTCCTTTAAAAAAAAAAAAAAGTTGCTTAAAAGCTTCTTCACAGCGATGCCATAGAAGAACCATTTTTGGTTCCACAAAGAAGCATTCAGTCAAAGGTTCTTTAAAGAACCATCTCTTTCTTACCTTTTTATAATCTGAAGAACCTTCTTTCGCCACAAAGAAGCTTTTGTGAAACAAATGTTCTTCAGATGTTGAAGCTTCTTTATGGAACCATTTAGACAAAAAGGTTCTTCTGTGGCATCACCGTGAAGCACCTTTATTTTTAAGAGTGTACAGTCTGATTTTGCTATAGAATTAATGCGTTTTATTCATATTGAGAATTAGTTTTAATATCTTTTGTTTTAATTAAGTTTTAATAATTTTGATTTTTTTTTTCGCTTTTAGTAGGTTTTCCTTTTTTAAATGTCAAGTTACTTATTTATTTATTTACAATTTTTTTTATTTTAGTTTCACTTCAGTTATTTCCAGTTTTTGTTATTTTTAGTCATTTTTGTTTTTTAAAATGTATTTTTTAAACTTATTTCCAGTTGTTTTTTTTTATTCACTGTTGTTTTTAAAATGACTTTTATTGCAGTTTCAATCCAGTTATTTCCAGCTTTAGTTTTAGTAATTAGTAGGGATGTGCGGGTCTAGTCGACTAAACGGTACAGCTCCTACTAGTCGACACTGAAAACAATAGTCGATTACACGACAGAAAAACTGTTCCTCTAACGAACACCCACTTCGGTGGTGGTGCGGGATGTCAGGTGCTTTCTGAAACTCTATCGGCTTGCTTTAAGTTATCTCTGCGTGCCTGCGACTTCAGTTCCTGCCGAGCGTGTTTTTTAAGTGCAGGAATTTTATTGTTAATCGCCCCAGGTCCCGTCTTTCACCAGACCACGTTGATAATTTCACTGAACAAATAACGCATGGTCTGAGTAAGTAAAATGAGCATTCTTGCATTTTGTTTTTAGACGATATAGCCTACACAAAGTGCGTTTTTAAAAGCCGTTTTAATGCTATCTCTTGATAAACCTTCCTATTGTTAGTAGTGTTTTTTTATTTTATTAGTTTCTTTAAGTCTGTTATTTTTTAAATTCATTTGTTTCAATTTCAGTTATTTCCAGTTAATTTTGTTGTGTGTTATTTATTTTCATGCTTTTTTTAATCATTATTATTTATTTTTTTACTTTGATTTCAGTTATTTCCAGTTTTAGTAATTTTGTTTTTTTGTCATTTTTATTAGTTATTGTTTTTGAAACAATTGTTCAGTTTCCAGTTTAGTAATTTTATTTTGTGTTTTTGTCGTTTTTATTAGTTTTTTTTTTAAATGTTTTTTGTTCATTTTTATTTCAGTTCAGTTCTGTTTTTTGTAGTTTTAGTTTTAGCAATTGTTTTGTTTGTTTTAATTTATTTTATTTTAGTTTCAGTTATTTTCAGTCCAACTTAAAGGCACAATATGTAATTTTC